TTCACCGTTTAATCATGTTTTACGTATAAATTTCATCTTATCTCGCTTAAATTTGTAAAAACTTGAAACTTGATCATCGATACAAATTTATATTTTTTTTCATTCTTTTGGATTGTACTGAATTATATTTTCATATGCATATAACTTTTATGTTTTAGTTCATTTATATATTGATTGAGTTTTTTTTAATATTATTTAATTAAATATTAATAAACAATCTCAAGTGAACGATCGCCCTAGCTGACTCAATATCCTGAAGCCCCTTGTGGAAGCTTCAGATAAATTAATAATCGCACACATACATAAGTGAAGCATTAAGTCAAAAAACAATGTAATTTGAGAACACCTTTTTGATTGTCGTACTTAAATTTTACATTTTGAGAACAAAAAAAGCCCCTCTCTAATAGCCTATGGCCATTCCTTCTCGAGTTTTTAAATTACTTTAACAACCTTTTCTTGTTCAAAATGTCACAAGTATCTAAGCCGTTTACAAACATCCACATTAGTTAGATATCAGAACATCTTTCCTTCGAATTTACATCAGCAATTGATGAGAACCAATAACAATCAATAATCAAATTCAACAGAAAAAAAAAACATAAATTAACGAAAGCAACAATTTTTGTAAGCGGGATAACAAACTATCCACAAGATCTACAAGTAATCAACAAATATATCAATAAAATCAGAGAGGCAAATTACTTACCTTGCCGAGTGTAAAAGAGACGAGGAACAAAAAGATAATGAAGAAGAAGCATAAGGATCGGACAACCGAGCTCATCCTCATCGCCTCTCAGTGAAACAACACCGTTAGATCTGAAAGAATATTTCACAAGTGTAATTGAAAAACGCAAAATGCAAAAATTCTTCTTTCCTAGTTCCCAATGGAATTAATGATTCGATTGTGATTTGAGTGCAAACGTTTTTGCTCCGATCTACTGAAGATTTCGAGAGGTGTAAGGAAGCGTATCTGCAAGTTTATAGTTGCTCTGGGTTTATGGCTCCCAGAGAGTGACTGTGGACTGTGGGCCAGTTTCCAATTTTTTTTTTTTATTTTTTATTTCACTATTGGTGCGTTTACTTTGACATGTACAAGCCAAAAAAAAAAAAAAGGAAAA